CACAATCCTTGCGGATCAGCTCCCGCACCCAGACGACGGACGTTGAGGTCGTGACTGCAGAGCCTCGCAGAACGCCAAAGGTTGGTATCTCGAATCAGCCGGTCGCATGTCTTAGCACCCAGCGTAGCCGAGAATTGCAGATCAAACACGAGAACAGGAGTCCGAAGAAGCACACATCATGACACGTGAACGAAGGCAAGAGAACATATTTCCGAAACATCCTAATTCGCAAAAAGGACCGCTTCCAAGCAAACTCAAGCGCTACTATACAGCTTCAAACAGTTTCCTAAAAGCGCAAGCACAACTACAACGACACAACGTCCTAACGAAAACAAAGGGTCAAACATGCACTGTACACTCACTCAGACTGCAGAACAACTGACAATGGCACCAACAGGTGACCTTTCACATTCCTTGCATTTTACCTGGGAAAGTGATTCCCTGCAGAGCGTGTTGGAGCTATTATGAACACCAGCAACCTGCCTCGTGTGGGTGGTGCCTCACCGAGACTGAGATAGCCGCGCGTGTAAAGGCTCATGGTGCTGGGGCTCCATCCACCAGACCCATCGCGCATCTTGGTGGCATTCAACCATTCCCTCATCACTTCATCAACAGCAACATCTTGCCGCTTTTTGACATCTGTCATCACTGACCTAGTCAGGTATTGACGGGCAAGGTCTTCTGACCACCGGAAATCTTCAGCGCGCTTGCCATCTTGCTGGGGTGCAATTTTCGTGCGCACGCCATTCAGCTCGTTGATCTCTGCGGCCAAATTGCTTGATTGGGTGACAACAACGAGCTGGTGTCCAAATTCAAAAGCGTGCCGCGTGAGATCCAACAAGGCAGTGCTGTCGCCCTGCAGCCCACCATCGAAAGCATTGTCGATGATAATGCACAGGGAAATGCCATCACTTGCAATTTGGCTGAAAAACGAATTGGCAACGTTGAGCGCAAGGGATGTGTCTGAAACCCGGAAAAAATCCTTCAGGCTCTTTTGGAACTCTCCCCGCAGTAGCACCGTCATGCAAGACTCGCTTGCATTGGTCTTCAACACGGCAAGAACGGTCGAGACTGACTTGCCAATACCTGGCTCTGCAAACACTGCAGTTGTCCCGACATCTCTTGCCTGCAAAACATCGCGCATAAGTGTCTCAAAAGGGGTGTCGTTCATTGGGTCAGCCAGGAACTGCTTATCAAATGGGAGAATGACGTTTTTCATTGGGGCTCTTTTTCCCAATCTTGGTCCCAACATCTGCCAGATCCAATTGCCCCAAAAAATGCGCTTGGTCAACTTCTTCGCGTGCTTCTGGACGCTCATCTCTGGGGTCATCAGGTTCACTTTTTGAAGCGTAAAATCCGTCGCAGCTCTATACTGTAAAGCCAAGCTTGATGCCTTGCGAACAATGGGCTGCGCGAGGGGACGCATCAGCAGCGCGCCCAACTCTTGGAGGGTAAAACTATGCTGACTACGTTGCCATAGAGTCAATAGTAGCACCAGCACAATAACCCACCTGCTTCTCTGTGGGTGTTGTAGCGCCATGGCAGGCCAATCTAAACTCAAAAGTATGTGCCGCTTTTGTTGCCCTGAATGCACATCATGTGATGCTTTGTTCCAAGATGCCTTGCATTCAGAGAGGTTGACTACTTTGGAGAGGCGAACTGGGGTCGAACGACGGTGCATGGGCTTTCTGGGGGGCATGGGGCAAAGGCCGTGTCCATGTCTCTTCGCTTTGCCGGCTGGGCGCTGCAACGACGAAGCGATTGTGCCCGCTCTTTCCTGTACGAGGTGAAACGATGCATGCTTGGCCTCAGCCGAGAACGGCAAGGAGCCAAAGCTACATCAGACCCGCAACGATGCAAACTCGAGCGATGATTCAAAATGCTGCACTGCTGAGGGAGTTGTCTAAGACGCGGCTTCGGCGAAGCACACATCGCATGTGAATCTGCATCGCATCAAAAAGCGGACTTTGCTACTATCATATTGAAATCTGACTCCGGGCAATGCACTTTGAGAAAGAAACATAGATCAATTCTGTATTCTTCAAGCAAAACCTCTGTTGTAACACAAGAACATCTCGGGGCACCCCACCCGCGATAGTCCGTACAACAGCTGATTTAGCGCTGCTTAGCAAAATCAAATGACATACATCTTTGCGCTGTGTTTTCTCAGCATGCGCCTCGCAGGTGATGTGCAATCTCATTCTC